TCAGCTCGAATTAAACGGAACCTCCAACTGGCACACGTAAGGATAAGCAGGTCTATGTGCTAAAGGGTTTTTTCATAGGGCCGCTACAAAAGTAGATCGATAGGGACATATGCAACGATGCCATATTTTTTTGCTAAGGCAATGGGAACAAATGCTTCCGTCGAGAATATTGCTGCCGCTGGCGCATCAATTGAGGAAGACTCAAATTGTTCGTGAATTGGGCTGAGCAACAGTTTTCATTGCGATCAGGCTCATTTCTGGCTGTTTGGCTTCGTTAATAAACAAAATATAACGCATATTTGTCAGGCTATAGGATTTCTTCTAAAGGTCGTACATCTGCTCATCCGTGTCCTATCGGGTTGGAAATGTATTAATGCTGTATTTATTTAGTGGCTTGTGAGTCTTTTTTTTAGAGAGCGGGGTCGCGTAAACTTAAAATAACATTTAAATCGCAGATAATCTTTACAGACCTCTAGTACCTAATAACAGTTTCGTATCCTAATTTGTTGTTTGGTTATTGAACTTCATATGTTTTTGCTTAACGGTATGTAGCGGGCGTGACAATAGTCCGCTTCCGCCCACCGGCAACACCAACCGTCTTAACTTGTCGAGAAACCTGTGTACCAAGCTTTATTAAGATGTATCCATATTTACGGCTGGCCGCACAGGCAGCCTGGAATTTTACTTGACTCGTCGTCGTGACCAATTATATGCAGATATATATGTTACCTGGCCTACGAGAAGGGAGCTAACGTGCGAAAACTAGTTTTCTGGTAAACAGCTGTTAAAAATCTCATCTTCCATCCGAATCAACTAAAAAGTGAAAATTGATTTTTTGGATTTTTTAACACCTAAGAACCCTTTCCGCAGACCAGGTCACATATATGTATATAATTTGATAGTATATCTATCTCTTTTAGTTGTAGTTGAGACAAGCAATCGGTAGGTAAACAAAATTATATTAATTTAAGAAATATATTTTATTAAATAAGCAAAGAAACAAAAACAATGTTGCTGAATTGAATATAGAAAAAAAAATAATTAAAAAAAGAAACCAAAAAAAAAAAAAAAAACAAATTATAATAATAATAAAAACAGTCACAAATTTACTTGAAATAGTTGGACAATATTTGTTTACAGGTGAGTATGCTCCAGTTTGTATGGCAACTACATGCTATAGTGAACCGATATCAGCCAGACATGGCTAAATTGACTCAACTCATATCATGTTAATCATCATTTTATAAGATCTTTCTTTTTTCTTCAGCGTGTTACAAACAAATGTAAAAATGCTTTCTTATCCGTTTCTTTCAATTTTCTAAAACTCGTCTCCAATTCCTTTAATTTGGCACCAAAATCATCAAAATCGGTTAAGATTTGCCGACATTACGAAAAATCGTCATTTTCTTCAATTCAATTCCAATTTTCTAAAACTCCTCTCAAATCCCTTCAATTTGCCACCAAAGTCATTGAAATCGGTTAAGATTTGCCGAATTTACGAAAAATCATAATTTTCTTCAATTCAATTCCAATTTTTTAAAACTCCTCTCAAATCCCTTCAATTTGACACCAAAATCATTAAAATCGGTTAAGATTTGCCGAAATTACGAAGAAATTACAATCTGGTCACCCCAGCCACATGGCGGCGCAAACAAAAAATTTCATTTCCCAAATCGCCAATTTGCACCAGGCACCCAGAATGGCCCAGTAGGTAGCTGCCGCAAAAAATTATTTTTTCCTGTAGCCTACCTCAAAGGCGCAGTATGAGCTGCGTTACCGGCATATGCAGGACAACCGGAACTGAAGGCTGACGCCACATTTACGTGAATAACTTCCATAATTCAGCACCGATTTCGATCGTTCAGGCACCAAATGAAAGGGCAAGCGTGCAGCTACACAATTAAATAGTAATGAAGTATAACAAACTACAAAAAGAAGATATCTTTTGAAGAAAATGTGTCGAAGAAACTCTATGATAAAAATCTGAAAATTTCGTTTTAATAAAGTAAGATGAAAGGATCTTTGTGTTACCATTCACTAGAAATACGCTTCGTGGGTATTTTCCCTTCACGACTACATTTCAACTTCAACACATTCTTAATTAATGCATGTATTTGAATAGCTTATTTCTAGCTCAATTGCCATGTTTACGTAACAGATGGAAGTAAGTGCATAATACTAATATTTTCTAGAAGCGATTACCTTTCGTTTGCGACCAAAATCATTGAAATCGGCTGAGATTTAGCAAAGTTATAGTGAATATGCATTATCGATCGCATATACTGCATTATCCACCATTTCCTGTAGTTGCGTGCGCTATAAGCACTTTGGTAAAACTCAACCGATTTCAATGATTTTGGTGGCAAACGAAAGGTAATCGCTTCTAGAACACATAAGTGTATTCACTTACTTTCATCTGCTACGTAAGCATGGCAATTTAGCTAGAAAGAAGCTATTCAAATACATGCATTAATTAAGAATGTGTTGAAGTTGAAATGTAGTCGTTAAAAGAGTATACTTATGAAGAGTATTTCTAGTGATTGGTAACACGAAGATCCTTTCATCTTACTTTATTAATATGAAATGTTTAGATTTTTACCATAGAGTTCCTTCGACACATTTCTTCAAAAAATATCTTCTTTTTGTAGTTTGTTATAATTCGTTACTATTTAATTGTGTAGCTGTACCCTTGCCCTTTCATTTGGTGCCTGAACGATCGAATTCGGTGCTGAATTATGGAAGTTATTCACATAAACATCGCATCAGCCTTCAGTTCCGGTTGTCCTGCATTTGCCGGTAACGCAGCTCGCACTGCGCCTTTGAGGTAGGCTACAGGAAAAAATAATTTTTTGCGGCAGCTACCTACTGGGCCATTCTGGGTGCCTGGTGCAAATTGGCGATTTGGGAAATGAAATTTTTTGTTTGCGCCGCCATGTGGCTGGGGTGACCAGATTGTAATTTCTTCGTAATTTCGGCAAATCTTAACCGATTTTAATGATTTTGGTGTCAAATTAAAGGAATTGGAGAGGAGTTTTAGAAAATTGGAAGAAATGAAGAAAATAGTGATTTTTTTTTTAATTTTTGAATCTTAACGGCTTTTTCCGATTTTGGTATCAAATTGACGGGATTGAAGAGAAGTTTTCGAAAACTGAAAGAATCCAAGAGAGAAAATTCTCACTATTACCTTTTTATTAGAAATAAGTAAAAAACTGATAACTTGAATTGTTTTTGTTGCAATTTATTTAATCTCTAAATTAGGTTTTAACATTTAATTATCATTTATCAATACAATCCTTCTTATTTCGCGTTTTGGCTTATCCCAATAGTATCGGTAAGTAGGGTTTAAATATTTTTTTTCTTGTTTTTTTTTTCTTTTGAGTTTTCTTTCATCTACATTTGCTTACGGCTAATAATACTAGAGTTACCGTTATGATGTGTTACATACAGTATGCGAAATCGGAGCATTTGTGCTTGTTTACTTTCAGATTTTGTTTTTAATGTTTCTTAAATATATTTTTATTAAAAAGTTCAGCGTAATTACTTGCTTTCATTTTCTTGTTTTGTTTAATGCTAATAATTTGCTGAGCAATATTCTACGTTATTTTATTTTTGTAAAATTATTCATTTTTGAAACATTTTTTTATGTTTTGATGTTAATGTTTATTTATATATATATATATATATATTTTTTACATTAATATCTTAATATTTTTTATATTAATTCTTTTCCTTTTAATTATTTTTTAATTATATATAAATGTTTATTTTTGTTTTTGTATTTTATGCAGTTTCTGTTGGAAAGTGCCGTATTTAGACACTGATAAATTTTGTTGCATTTTTTGGATTATTTTATGTTTTTGTTGAGAAGTTTTTGGAATTCTGTATTAGGGTTGTTTACTTTTGGTTTATTTTACTTATTTTTTTTTTACTTTTTGTATGCTTGTTTTTGTTTTAATTCCACTTTTTATATATATTTTTTATTTTTAAATATATTTAGTTTTCTTAAATTTTTTAAAATAATTTTTTATATTTTTTATGCATTTTTTTACATATGTTTATTTTTTATAAATATTTTTTTTAATATTTTGTTTTTTAAATATTTTTTATCGCTTTTTCAAGTATTTGCATTTATTCTAAGTTCTGTGGTTTTCTTAATTATTTTTTTGGAATTTTGAGTTAAGCTATTTTACACTTAAAGCTAATATTTTTATTGCACTTTAGTTGATATCTGCATTGTTGCTATTTGCTATATAGAAAACTAGTTTTTATATTTAATACACATAAGAACAGCTTTTATATTTTTGATACATAGAAATACATTTTTTATGTTATTACATATTTAAATTATTTTTATTGTTTTTTTAATATTTATTTTTATTATTTTATTATTTTTGTATTTACAGCCTATTTTATATTCTCCATTAACATATTTCTCATTAAATTTTTACTTTTACTTGCTTGACAACTAATTGAAATAGTCTATTAATTTAAGTATTATTATTAAATTAAGTATAAATTTTGATTCGTACTTTCATATATTACACTACTCAAACTACGTTTTATAATAATTTTTATATAATATTTTTAGCATAATTTTTTTATTATTCTTTTATTCTTTAATTAGCTACAACAAAAATGTGTTGGAAAACAACTTACAAAAACGATTTTTTATTATAAATTTCAAAACAACTTATTTATACTTACAGCTTTTTAAATATTAACAGAAAACAAGCAAATATTCTTATAAAATCGCTATGTGTATGCGTGAATACCCCTAAAGTTGTTTAGAAAATTATTCTTACATTCGCTAACATACATGTATAAGTTTTTGTTGTACATATGAACAATCTGGTTTTTATATATGTATATATCGGTACCTAAAATGCAAAACAACTGCATGATAACCAATATATAAGCAATATACAACTAATGCGTAACCAATATATAACCATTTTATACCCGAAACCCTAATTTTGTTTCAATATGAGTGGCTTCTAGTATGTCGTTTTTCCTTCGCCTGTAAACTTATAAAAAGTGATGTTACATTTTAGATGACGATATATATTCAGCCATAGTGTATTAGTGGGGATTCTCTAATACTTCGCTGTATTGCGGAACTGCACATCTATTATAAATTCAATATTTCTACATAATTTACATTTATATACATACATTTACCGTTAGATACTATAATTCTTAGCGCACTAAGGAATTTCGGCGGCAAAGTTCACCTTTTTAAAGAGATACACGCATATTTATATACAATTTTTTAATTTTACTACAGCTCTGCTTCGAAAGCTTTCACATGCTTTCAGAGTCATAAGCTAACTGGCAGAAGTAGCGTCTTTAGCAGCTTTCCACGACTTCCTTCCACCGCCAAGTCTTCTACCAAGCTTTCGAAAAGCCCCATATATTCGTATACCCTTTTCTATAGCTCAAGTTTATCAGTATTTGTTTTAGTATAATTATTTGTTGTTGCTGTAACTGTATAAAACAACAACATTATATATAATTAGTACTCATACATCGATTACTATCGCTAGAACTTACTATATCGAGTTAATTTTCTGACTAGTATTTAGTTGCCGAACACATACTCCATTCTTCGCATAGAAGGTCCGAAAAAAATATTTTCCGCAGTTATCACTTCTTATCTACATAATTACAATTGCACATCTGTACCCATATACAGTTACAAATACAGACATATTATCAGATTTTTTAGTAGTTACAAATTATTATACAAATTATTTAAATAGATTTTGTAAGGCTAATGCTTGATACCTGTCTTTTCGCTATAACTATTATATATACTATTTTTCATTATTTTATTTCGCTTTTTATTCTCCTAAGTTATGGTATGTACATTAGTATATTGAAAAAATGTTGGAAAAAGTTCAGAAATTTTTGTTAAGTAATAATCCCAAAAATCATAGAGAAGTATTCTTTCCTTTTTCACATTTTCTCCAATGAGCTTTCATCGTTATTTGCTTTTGCCGCTAAGGAGCTTTAACATTATGCGAGCTTTCATCGAAGCTTTCAGCTGTGAAGCTTTAACAATATTTTCTGCAGTTCTCAATGTTTTTATAAATGAAGCAAAGTATTTCATTCTTATAAGGAAACGAACTAACATCATAATACCAGCTTTCACTGATGATTTCAATATAATAATAAATCTAAGGCTTTTGACTGAATTTTGAAACGTTTTTATGCATAATAATAAAAACGAAAGCTTCTTATGTAGGATTTGTAATAAGCTTCTTGTTCCAGATGGCATATTTTTAAATCCATTTACATATGAGGATGACCACATGTTCGGAAAAAAAAACGCTTAGTCGATTGAAGCTAAATCATTGGACGTTCCTTGTGCCCTCTTGGACTGTAAGTATTAAATTATTCTGGAGAATTCGGCCTCTTATAGTAAGAACTTGGAAACATTACCAATCATCCTAAATTTATCTCTACTGTACATATTTTTAGGGGTGCACCGATCGTTCAAATTGTTTGATACAAAATTATAATTTAACTCACCGCTCTACCTCTTCTTATTCCTCTTGCTGTCAGAGCTCTCTGGTATTGTATGCTGTGTTTGAACCTTTGTAGAAACTATCAAGGAAGGCGGTTCCAGTTTCAGCTAATTAAACCTAATAGTCGCTTTCCCACACCAACCCGCTTCTCATCCACGCTTAAATCGGCGTCGGCATTAGCGTGTAGTCTTGATGCAAACTCGGCTTAACTGTATCGTACACGGCACGACCGGCATCATCGGGTAGTGCATAGACATCGGGTGGCACACAGAGTGATTGTAGCTTTGATATGTATGAGTCGAAGGGTTCATGATGCGCATAACCAGCTGGATGATGTACGGTGTACGGATGATGTGGCGGCATTGAGGCGCCATGTGGTGGCGGAGGCGGCGGCGGTGGTGGACCCAACATACCCGGATGCGTGCCGGCTAAATGGTGGGGTGGTGCTGCATACATGGACACAGCACCGCTAACCACATTTGTGGGCGCAATGGAGGCTGTGGGTAATGGACTTGGTGGTATGAGTGTGGGATGTGATGGATGTGGCACACCGTAAGCGCTGGTCAATTGCTGATTACTCAACACTTCGGCGGTGGCAGGCAATCCCGTCAAATTCGAGGATAAACTATTGCCTAGACCATCACTTGGATGACCGCCTATGCTGGTGCTGCTCACATTATTGCCGCCGCCGCCACCGCTTAGTGGACTCGCGCTCATGCTTGTGCCGCCATTGTTGCCGCCGGGTGGTGGTAGTCGTACGTGTTCAAGTAGCGTGATAACGTTGTTTCGTAAACTCTCGTAATAGGAACTGGATGTGGGTGGACCGCCGCTAGACGCGGTGGAGGAGGTGGTGGTGCTGATGCTGACGCTTGGTGGCGGTGTTAAATAGCTGCCGCTGTGACTATGGCTGTGACTGCCTATGGTGCCGGCGTGACTGCTGGCGAGGGAGTGTGAGATGTTTGTGCTGGAGAGGGCGTTGCTGTTGTTGTTGCCGCCGGCTCCACCACTGCCGCCGAGGTTGATGTTACTGTTGCCGTTGCCGTTGCCGTTGGCGCTGTTGCCGCTGCCGTTGTGATTGCTGAGCGGGGAGGCGATTGAGGCGCTGGAGGAGACGCTCCCAAGAGCTGTTGCTCCTCCAGCATTGATAGTCACCGCAGCGAGATTACGCTGTTGATGAGTACTCAGCGGAGAAGCCTCCTATAGAGCGCAAGCGTGCAAAGAAAGAAGCAAAAATTTAAATATTAATTATATGAAATGATATGGAAAGTGGTGCTTAGTAGTTAGAAGATGCTAATTATATAAGTATAAAAAATGAATGCCTGCTTTCTCAAGAGGGTTTCATTCTCAATTTATAAAATTCGAATGTCTCTGCTTATATTTTGCCTGCAGTAACTACTTTTTATTGAGGATGGAGCCATGTGTAAAAGTTCCCTCAAGTGAGAAAAATTCTCTGAGCGCCAATCACTTGGGAGTGGCCAGAAACGATTATTTTATATATGCTTCAAGCAGTTCACGAATTCTAGCCTTAGACCAAGTATCCTTCGGGTAGAGAAGACCATCAGTTTGAAGATTTGACCTAAAGTGAGCAGACGAAAAACCCCGTGGTTATGAGCTGGGTGTGGGACCCGCCACGTAAAAAAAAAAAAACCAACCAATGAAAAGAACAGGCGAAAAGGATTAATCAACGATGACTTCGTGTTTTCTGGTGTTCGCCGAACCGTAGACAAGCCTATCTAAACTCCAAGGCTGTAATCTGTAATGTACTAAGTGACATTCTGTGGAGTAAAGGATATTCCCAAATTTAATTTACAAGAAAATTTAAGACAAAATTGTATCAGCTGATTAAATTTGACTGCTGCGGCTAGCTCGAATAAATTCCAGCCGGTAGGCCCAATATTCGACCACTTTTTGCAGCAATTGTGCGGTATATCAAGAATTAGGCGTCGAATATTCTCTACCAAGATGTCAATTGTCTCGGGCAAAACTGCGTAGACGAGCAACTTCCCATAACCATACAAAAAATAGTCCAGCAGTATTAAATCGCACGATCGTGGAAGCCAACCCACAGGTCCAAAACGCGAAATAATGTGCTCCTTCAATAAATTTGAGTTTTCTCGTCTACATCGTCATCCCAAAATTCAGTGAGAAAAAAGGAATTAATTATGGCCCCATAGCATTCTTCATTGACTGTAACCCACCTCAGCCGAGTCTTATAACAAGGAAAATTAAATTTTTTCGCTGCATTAGCTCGGGCGTCTATGTAAAAGGTGATCATAAAGACTTATGTATGTTAAAAATAAAATATTAAAAAATTTATATGAAAATGTTTGTGTTTGTCAGTCCGGGTCAAACTTGATCAGATACAACTTTATAAATGGAAAATTAAATTTTTCGTTGCATTGGCCCGGGAGTCTATTTTAAAATCGATAATAAAGAGTTATTTTAAAAATGTATATGGAAGTATTTGGGATTGTCAGTCCGGGTCAATTTTGATCACATACAATTTTATTAACTATCACCATAGGAAGCCGTTCTGGAGTCTAGGTACCACTGATCAACAGTATCAGTGGCTAAAGTGCTTGGTTTTGCTTGGATTCTTATTCTTCGATCGCCTTGATAGGTCTACTTTTATGATTTAAAGAGTCGAATGCTTAAACAATCCAATTTTTCATTATTTAAGAGCGATAAAGAACATTTCTGAGAGCTTTGGATTGTGTTTTATAAGATTAAAGAACACAGTATAAAGGACTAAAACGATTTTGTGGTGGAGAGTAAACTTATTTTCAAGAAAATTTTTGTGGAATAACGGAAAGAAATGTGGAAAGCTATTTGATCTATTTCAGATTTTCTAAAGTCTGCATGACTTCTAATTAAATGACAGAGAAACATAAATACGCTTTCAAAAAAATCTAAAACCCTTCAATTGATATAATAAAACACATATTTAAGAAAGTATACATAAACACATACATATATACCTATATATACACTCATATATATAGGTGCCTATTTACAATGGCTGTCTGCTGAAATATTAAATTACGTTCACTTCAGTCAATACCATTATTTCGTACCATCAAGAGAATAAATAAAATAAAAATAATCCGCATTAATTAGGCATCTTCATATAGCAAGCTGTCATTATTCTTCCACATCATTTAATAAAATCATCTAATTGAATTTAATTCAATTGAATTTCATACAATTCAATTCATACACGAGTTGTTGAGGCGTAATAACGATTCGACAGAAAAGTGAGGCACCTACCAAATGGGCCAAATAATAAAAATGAAGTGTTTCGCCCAATGGTGAGCGCACACAGATACACTTCCATAGATGTGTTTACTGTTAACAAAGGCATGAATAGCCACGGCCAAGTAGATGAGAGGAGCAAAGATATTATATACCCTGCTTATGCCGGCAATGCAATGCAGCAGTGCGAGCGAAAAGGCCGAATAGCGCACGAAGCACAGAAAAAATGCTGAAGAATTGCATGGAGCAGAAGAAAGAGGAAGAAAAATGAAAAAATCGAAAGGAGCGAAAAATAAAGAAAAATTCTGAAGAGCTAAAGCGTCACACACACACACAACCACACATAGGAATTTAAGTGGAGCGCAGGAAAAACACAGAAAAATACGTTCTGCGACGCCCTCTTGCGCGCAAGTATATAACGTTATAGTATATGGCTACACACATACACACAAAAATATAAAGGAAAAGGGGAGCTGGCTGGCAGCTGGTCTGCGCTGTTGGCGCTGCATTGTTGTTGGCGCCAATTGCGTTGTGGGGGTTAGCATGTCGGCGGTGGTGGGCCATGGCACGCTGGGATACACACTGCAGCTCGATTGCCACATAATACATACACACACGTATAGAGATATGTATATGCCAATACTTATATAGAAAATGCTAAGCGCTCGTTGGTTAAGCGCCAGCGCAGTCCAAGCGTACGGCGCCTCCTCAACGTTGTTGGCCTTATTTTCCCTACCAAGCCCCACACACACACACAACCGCATGTAATAAATGTACATGTGTTTGTATAAATGCTTGTGTGTGTGTGCGCGTGTAGTTGGCCACATGGGAGGCCAAAAAGGTTACACACAACTTGAGCAATTCTCATGTGACTACGTAGTTGGGAATGTCTGCTTGTACACCTACGTATATGTGTGTGTGTGTGTGAGTTTGTAAAACATGCGCGTATGTATGGGACTTGTTGTTGTTGGTCGTATTGAGGGCGACTGAATAGGAGCGAATTGTAATGAAACGCGATTTGTTGATTTGTTTACGAGCGAAAAGGGACAGCTGACTACAAGTACAATAACGACAACAACAACAACAATAAATACAGCTAGCTGCAACAACAATACGTAGCAAAAATCGCATTAGCAAACTTCGTGTATACTCCGACGGCAGGTGGGGTCGGCAGGCGTGTGTGTGTGTGTGCATGTATGTGTATATGGTACATAGGTGACCACTGGGGAGAGGGTCTGCCTGCTCACCACCAGTGCAATGCTTGGCGCGCATGCACACGTCGTCTTTAGGGATTCAAACTCACGCGCTGCCTACCAACACTTGCATGCATATGTACATACATATGTATAAAACATATAAATACGGACATATGTATCTACATATGTACATACATATATATAAAGGAAAGTGTGCTTGCATTTACTTTGCCGAGGGATGTTGCCGCATTGGAAGTCCTTTCTGCGGCCCAGCCCTTGCATGGAAATGCATCCAAATTGCATTAAAGCTCACTCATTGGCCGAATTGTAGTTGTTGTTGTTGTTACATCTTGCTATATACGTATTTGGTTGTCAGCTGAACGCCATTTTGCTGTATGAACACTCTTACACATATACATATATCCAACCACTATTATATAGCATCTGTGCACTCGGCTGATTGCCAGGCACTTTTTGCTTTTTTTCTTGTTGTCGCTGTATGAGTGCGTGTAGCTGCGTGTTTGTGCTTGCAGTGCTCATGCAATTCATCATCATTGCATTTGTTGAATTTGTTTACCTCATTTACAATGTGTATTTGTGTAATTTGTATTTACGCTTGCGTCTTAGCCCTCGGCGTTTGGAGAAGTGCAAACTTTGTGAAAATTTAAGCAAAATGGAAAAATCGAACTAAGGAAGAAAACTTGCTTTGATGCAAATGAATAGCCATGGATATAACTAGGATAAATATTACTGGCAAAAATACGTAAATTGTTTTGTGGCATCTGATTAGAATATGTTAGAGACTTGCCACTTTCAATTTAGTATTTTTTTCTAAAAAAAAGTGAGCTTATCCAACATATTTTGCTACCTTAAATATAGCTCATATAAATCATAGACATAATTATATATCGTCACCTAAAACACAAAACGACGTATCATAAAAAGACGAAAATCTCTGTCAGTTATAATAACCCATATATGTTATAACTATTTTACAACCAAAACTAAAATTTTTTTCATTGCAATGAGTGGTTTGTACCATAACGTTTAAACTTCGCCTGAAAACGTATGAAAAATGATGTTACGTTCATTTGCATTATAGGAGTCGATATGTACTTTTAGCATAAACCCAACACCAGATGAATTTTCACAAGTTTAAGTCTACTGACAACGGCTGTTGATTGTTTTAGAAGCTTTTCAGAATTCAGAATGAATGCTAATGGAAATCAACTGTTTTAATTTCGCCTCTTTTTCTTATATATATTAAGCTCTATATGGAAATAGTAAGAAAAATGCTTCGTTGTAAATTTATTTCACTTTGACTTCACTGTTTACTGTTAAAATTTTGCGCCGCTGTATGCATTTTAATACCAGAAAATTTGCAGATACTTCATTAAAGATTTTTAAACTCCTCCGAAAAGATAAAAACTCATTAATCATGGCTGTACAACGTTTCCACTGATTGACTTGCTTCTTCAAGAAATAAGAGCCCATAGAGCACCCAGTCTATGTCATTCCCTCAAAGTAATGCCCCTTTGACCCAATACACTTGTGCCAACGTATTTTCCAATCCTCGAAACAGTTGTAAAATTTAATTGCCGGGAGAGTCTCCACTGAGCGTTGTGATTCGCGTTTAATGATTTCAATTGATGGATCAAAACGTTTTCGCGTGAAGTGTTCATGTGAGTTTGTTGGATAGTCAGAAGTCACTCGGAGCTAAATCAGGCGAATAAGATGATTGCGACATGACATTCTTTGCAAATTTGGCGAAAAACTCACGAAGAATTAGTGCAGTGTGCGACGGTGCATTGTAGTGGTGCAAAAATCAAGAGTGGCTGGCGCATAAATCCGGCCTCTTCTTACGAATAGATTCGCGCAAACGGAAATAGTATTTCTTGTTGACTGGAAGGAATTCGAAGTGCATCAATCCACGATAACTGAAAAAAGATTCTTTCGCTTTTGTCTCACATTTGCCATAATATTCGGCCTATTGATCGTCTGTTTTCCTGTCGTAAGCATAGATCCAAGACTCATCGCCAGCAATAATACGTTTCAAGGTAATCGGAAAGTATTGTTTCACAGACGTTAACGTGACGCGGTTTTTCAAACAAATTTAGTGATTTTGGAACCAATCGTGTTTTCACTTTTAGACCCAACTGAGCTTTCGAAAGGATTTTCACTAATCCTTTCGATATTCTAAAAATGTCCGTAAGATCTCTGACTGGTAATCGTCGATCCTCAAACACCAATTTCTTTATTTTATTGACCTATTGATCATCAGTTGTTGCTAATGGTCGTCCTGGACATGGTTCGTCGTCAACGCATTATCAATCCTCTTTGAATAATTTTTACCAATCAAAAACACTTCCTCGTGACAAACAATTCCACCGAAGGTTTTTTTTTTTTAAATTTTGAACGTTTCGGCACCAGAAATTTGATTCCGCACGTAAACCCTTATGAGAAACACCGCTTCTAGAGCCCGCTTTATCGTAGGAGACCATAGAATTTCCTACGATTTGGACTTTTCAGGTAGAAAGGTGTTAGCTGATTGTTCTCTTACAACACAGGGTTACCACTCTCGATATACTGTAGGAATTAAAAAGTTGTCTTCAATATGTTTGAAATTTTCTTAAACTAACTCAAAATCAGAGTCGAATGCTTAGAATATTTGAGCCCAAAACTTTTGAGTTGAAGTCTAAAATTTGTTCGAAATATAAAGCTTGCGGTGGATTTACATGTTTAGAAAACAGACAGAAAGAGTTCGTTTGTACAGCAGTTGGATAAGGGCAAATGGAACGGACTGTGGCTTACTCCGGCCTAGAGCTCTCAACCCAGTATTGTTAGATTAAATAGTAGAAGTTCTTGCTAAAAAACTTATTTTTTACCGCGCATTGGAGAAAAAACTTTTTGTCGACATTATTCCAAATCTCCCTTTCCGAAAATAGTAAACAAAAACACTCTACCAATTAGTGATTTAATAGCAACTAGAAATACCGTTCGAGTGTGTAAATCAAATGTAGATTTTAGCTTGAAAGAACGGTAAATCAGAAGTAGGATTTCTCTTTGCCTCTCATTAAAAATTGTCGATCGAATGCTTTGCAAGCAAAATACAGGGAACTCGACAAGACATGACATAAAAATAATACAAAATGGTATGAACGAAATTATCTCCATATTCCATCTTTTTAGAGCCGGAAGTGGACATAACTTTATTAAAACGAGAGACATAATGAAAGCTTGAGTCTCCGATACACTGTGAGAATAAATCAGAATATACTACAAATTCCATTCGCTAACTCTTTAATAACCCTTAAAGCCTCTGTTGACTTACACATACATATATGTGTGCGCCTTAAAATTGGAAAATTCAATACTTTCAACAACAATTCGACCCAGAAGTGGGACTTTGACTTAAGTTATTAATAACTTTACGCCGAAACTTTAGTACGATGACGAATGCAAAACTTTAGCTGTTAGACTATAAACTTTCTGCTCCAAATTTTGCTAAGCAAAACAGCGCAGACACAGCGTCGCGGACGGCGTCGACGTTGACGCCGGCGTCAACGGTACAAGTCCATTAACCGCAACGACCAAACGCGACTAAAGCGTGTGAAAGTGTTTTAAAGCGGTCGCGCAAGAGAGACAGACGGAGCGATGAGAATAAGCGGGAGCGAGCGAGCGATTGTCGAGGAAGTTTGGCGAAAAGTGCAAGAACTTTTCATAAAAATTAATTGATAAACTTTGATAAAAGCGCAAAACTTGAGTTAAGCAGAAAGTAGCGCCCGACGGACGACGGCTGTGTAGGGGCGAGTGAACCCTGGGTGCGAGTTGTTGTTGTTGTAGACGCTATAAGTGTGAGTCATTGCCAAGTCAGACAGGAATTTCTAACACTTTTCCGAGACCAACCGCCTTTAGACGCCAGCTGTCCGCTTGTCTGGTGCTCGCGCCGTGCCGCCTACAGTCTATCGCAGTCTATAGTGTGTGTGAGGGTGTTTGTGCGCTCTGTACTTTGGCAATAATTTAAATAACAAAGTTGTTAAGAAGAAAAAATTAGAACTTTATGTTTGGTGTTTGGTGTTTGGATTTTAGCGGTGATGGCGCTGACGTAGACGTCGGCAGCGCAGTTGGCGCGCTTCCTACTAGGTCATATGGCAAAAGTTAGAAAACTCGAAGTTCTGAGTTTTGGTGTGAAAGTTGTTGCGCCTTTTGCCAGCCGCCGACAACGCCATATTTTTTAGTGTTTTTCGTGCTGTTCTTGTATTAATAATATTTGTTAGCTAGCTCTTTCGTACACATTGTTTGAGGGGCTATCTACTTTTCAAACTGTTTTGCGGTTCGGTGGAAGCCGGTTTATGATTTGAAATTTCGGCGACGACCTTGAAAAACTGTAATAAGAAGTTTATAAACAAAGTCAAATATACAAATCCAAAGCTACAGGCAAACAAATTTAAACGAAACACACACAGACATGCATACATAAATGATCTGTAATACAAATTTATGGAATTATGTGGTCACCTAAATATTTAAGGTTTAAAGGGCGCTTCAAATGTGGCGCAAAGGTCAAAAGGTCAAGCCCTCAATTCCAAGACTGTGGACCCTACCCGGAAATGCTACAAGCACGGCGGAATTATTCTCAACTCACTTACATACAAACATACATATGTTGCTACATACTTATAAGCTACTGATATTTGTTTGCCTCAACGAACCTGAGCCTACGTACCCTATCGCTGGTGTGCAACTGTGATTCCATGGCATTTATGTCGGACTTGAGGCGCATCATTTGCGATTCGACGCGCGCATTCTCCCGTTGCAATTCCGAGATCTCCGCTTCGAGCGTGTTCAAGTCCTCACCCACGCCGCTGCCATTGCCGCCGCCGCCGCCGCCATTTGTTGAGGGCACATTATTATTATTGTTGTTGTTCGCGTTATTTGTTGCGTTATTGCCATTACTGTTGTTGTTGGCGGTATTGTTGCCTTGCAAGCTGTCGGGCAGTGTTGCAGTGCCGGTCACCGACGACGAGACATTGCCCAGCGCAGCAGTTGAGCTCACCACCGAGGCGTTGTTGTTGCTGCTGCTATTGCTGAGATTACTTGAAACGGAAGCGGACGAGGAGACAGCGGAACCGACACCGCCCATCATCATGTCGATGCCTGCGCAATGAGTGGGGAAAAAAGAAAATATAAATATATAGGATTTTAAGGTTTAATTGTTAAGTAAATTTTTATTAATTTATACAAAGTTGTGGTATTAGAAATTACAACAAAAAATATATGTGCGCGTGTGCTAAATTTTAGTTATACCAAATTTATTGATATAATTTTGGGTTCAGTTTCAGCTAAATTACAAAGGTGTAAATAAAATTGTTGTAAATGATATGAAATCTGTTTTAGTAAACTTTAGAATTTAGACTAAAAATTATTTTACATTGGCAGTTATGCAGCATAGCTCACTTGGCACTAATGAAATAAAAGCGGCAACAAAATTGTTGTACTAAAAATGTACTAAATCTATATTAAAATAAAAATTTCCTTTTATTACGTTTCTTAAGATTTTTGAGAGATATTAATGGATACTTTTTGGTAAAGGTAATATGCAAGCAATATGTATATGCTTAGCAACATTTTTACCTAATTTAGTGCTGAAAATATCCTTTATAAAAGAACATCAAAAAGTTGCTTGAACGTTAATTTGTTTAGCTTAGCAACATGTTCAAAAAAATATGCTAAAATTTATACCAAAAATGTAATGTTGCCATGAAAAAATATTGCTAGCAATATATGTTTAGAAACTTTTTTAAAATACATATTTTTATAAAAGTTTATACATTACGCTGAAATAAAAACAAATAAAAATATAAAAAAAAATTAATAAACAAAAGATGTTGCTAGCAATAATCGTTTCCTTAAAACTGAATTTTTTGTCAACAAAAATGATAAATGATGAGCCCTAAGTATAAATAAAACAATTTTATAAAAAAATATGTTGCCGGCAACATTAGTTTAGCAACATATTCCTAAAACAAATTATTTTACAAGATAAACCATGTTGATGGCAGCATTTGTTATATAAAAAATTAACGAAACAAAACATGTTGCCAGCAATATTCGTTAAGCAACATGTTCTATAAACTGACTTTTTAGCAAAAAAAGGATTGATGATGAGCGGAAAATATAAGCAAAACTATTTTATAAAATAAAAATGAAATTTTACCGGCAATATTAATTTAGCAAAGTTTTCCTAAAACATATTATTTTACAAAATAAAAAATTTTTGCTAGCTATATTCGTTTAACATGTTTTTACAGTTGATATTTTTGACGAAAAAAATTACTGATGAGTTGAAAGTAAAAATATAATAATAATAAAGTTGCTTGCACCATTTGTTTAGCAACATATTTTTAAAATAACTTTTTTCACAAAAGCTATAGGTTATGAGCGGAGAAGTATTTTATAAATTAAACAAAAAGTTGCCAGCAACATTTGCTTAGCTACTTCCTTCCAAATTTATTTCTGCAAAAATGATTAATTATGCTAAATAAAAAAATACAAAAAATTTAACATAATAGAAAATGTTGCTAACAAGTGTTTTGGCAACATATTCTTAAATTTTATTTTTTAGAAAAAATGATTGTGTGGTGAAAATATCTACTTATGTATATGTAAAATAAATGCAAAAATTAATGATTAATAAAGCTAAAAAAGTAAATAAAAATATTCACAAGAAAAAATAAAAATGTTGCTGACAACATTTGCTATGCAACTTTTATAGAAGAGTTCATAACATTGCCAACACTTGTTTAGCAAAACTTTCTAAAACATTATTTTTTCGCAAAAATTATTAAGAATGAGCTAATAAATATAAGTTTACAAAAGAAGAAAGAACGTTGCTGACAACATTTGCTTAGCAACATTTTGTAACACATTATTTTTTCGCAAAAATTACTAATTTTGAGCTATAAATCTAAAAAACCATATTTACAATAGAAAACAAAAATGTTGCTAGCAACATTTGTAGAAGAATTCATAACATTTGTAAATAAAATTTTTTACACTAAATAATGTTTGCGGACCGCTTATTAAATATATTGGTGTACTTTGTAATATTAAAGTTGGTGAAAAAATTGTTGCTAACGCAATTAATATGAATAAGTGTAAGCTTATAAGTATTTTACAAAAACAAAAAGCTGGACTGAGCATTAGAGCTTACCTTAGTCTTCATGTCAATCGATCGGTGGGTAGGTGATACAATATGGATCGGTACGAATCGGTTTAAATGTCGTTACGATATTTAGATATAAGGTACTGTGTGTATTTTTTTATAATCATATTTTTTTTTTGGTTTTGGAAGCAAAGACTTCTCAAAGTGAATTTTTCTTTTAGAGTGTGGCATTTGAAAAATCTTGAACAACTTTGTGTTTGCTATACATATGCTTATACATATTTACTATATGTATGTATGTAGAAGTGTGTTTAGTATTGGTTTTGCTAATCAAAATGCTCATTCTATAGCAGATATTCGGCACCGATACAAAACGTCGCGTAATCTAAACACAAATAATCCACATGAAATGAAACGTATAAGAAAAAAGAAAGAAAACGAGAGAATAATTAGAAATGAATATTAGAATTTTTGTTCGTATTGTTTAATTAGAGTTAATTAAAAGTTAATTAGTGGTGTGAATCACATACAATTACTGCATTGGCTAAATGCTTAGCACGTTGCTAATTAATTATGCAATTACTTACTAGAAAATTATAATAATATATTTCAAATAATAAGATTTCTTGGCATAATAATAAAGTACACTAAAGAAATTCTTTCAAAGAAAAATTTAAGTTATTTCATTAGCACACGCACACATACGAAATCGAAATCGAAACCGAAAAGGAAAGCATAAAGTGATTTCATGTACTTTTAAGTGATGTTCGAAAACAAAAGCAACACATGTATGTTCGAAAAAAAGTTATGCGAGACAAGTTCATTGCTTACCTGTATAGCCCTTGGGGTAGACCATTGTAACATCGTCGAATTTGGGTTTCTTCATGCCTTGACTGGCAGCGCTGCCGCAACCTGCAGTTCAAAAGTATGTGGAAATGAGAAGAAATTGCAAGAAATAGAAAGGGTTAGTAATTTGCGCCGCTGTTAATGAGTTGGTTCGCAAGACATTACCAAAATGTTGAGCATACGCACCGTCAAACTTCATCGCAGTCGCCGCAGCGACGGCGGCTTTATGCTGTTCTACGGTGCCGCCGGCCTCGAGTACGCGCATTTTATTGCGATTCGCGATGGGACAGCCGGAGGCGCTGTAGAATGGAGATGGAGAGGTGAGAGAGAGGTTAATTATGCATATGCAGTATGACAAGCAGCGAAATTGGTGCTAATACATGTGTTGTTTGTGTGCAGTATGTATGGGTGTGTATATATATGTATGTAAACATATGTACTTATGTGTAACAGTATGCAATATTTACCTTCTATGCGATAAGAATTTGCCAGTGGAATGGCCAGAGCCGTCACAGCCGGGTATGGGACATCTGAAGAGAGATAAGAGTTTGATGGTAGGTTAATATATTCGGTATATTAACGAAAGATCTTTGGATCGCAAAAGATTTTATTCGTTAACGTAAAATAAATTTAAAACCTAAGAGTAAATTTATCAAAAATCTGTGGGAATCAAAACATTTATTTCTATCGAAGGTTCGTAATTCAGAAATATGTTTTCTAGTGCCTTAACAACCTCTTATAATATTGAAATTCACATCGATGAATTTGGATGAAGAGGCACTGACGAATCTCCATGTATGTTAGTTGTTTGAAAATGAAACCAGAAGCAGAGCTAGGCGTTGGTATTAATACCAGGATAAGCCTTGAGGTTGAGCACCCAGACCTCAGCTCTAAATGGTTTACGATATTTTTTGATTTGTTGATTCTACTTATGTCAGTTTCGACTATGTCTATGTCTGGAGGAGGAAATAGTGCTTAAATGTTTCAACTTCATCCTTGCAAAGAAAGTATCTTTTTTTGTTTGCACCCCACCCACTAAGGGTGGCCCTTATGGTAGGTTCATAAGCTTTGCGGTTACCAGCAAATCCCTCGGGCCGCTAACCGAGTACCTAAGGGAGTGTGATGATGAAGGAGCTTGATATTTCTACTATATACTTTGAACGTATAGTAGGCATAAAAGAGACGTTGGAACATATTTTTTACGGCTTTCCGGCTTTTCATAGAACTCGTCTTCGATTATTTCACATATGGCTCAAGCAGCACACGACTTCTGATCTTAGACCACGTATCCTCTGGGTAGCCAAAGACCTCCTAAAGTGAGAAGGTGAAACTTCCCTCTCCAAGGTTTGGAGCTGTACTTGAGATCTCAGATATAAGTATCAACCGGAATCACCATCAAGGGTTACAAAAGACCTATAGGTCAATGTATGGCGTGACAGCCAACTTAACCTAAGCCCAAGCTAATTAATGTAGATACCTATGTATATATGGACGATATACTTATGTTTGTCTAGACTATATATGATTTTTTAGTACTCACCTCAGCGGCTCTGAGTCCTGTCCATCGCGCGGCTTACTCTTCGGCTTATTGGCACGCGGGCAACCCGATAAACTGCGATGCGATGAATAATTGCCGGTGACATGACCCGAACCATCACAGCCGGGTGTGGGACATTTCAGTTCTTGCGAGTGCGGCTGCAGATGATTGCGATCGCTGCGCGTACAGCCCGTCAAACTATGGAGGTGGATACAAAAAAAAAAAAAAAAAAAAAAAAAAAAAAAAAAAAAAAAAAAAAAAAAAAAAAAAAAAAAAAAAAAAAAAATAACAAAAAAAAAATTAAAATCTACGTTAGAAAGACAGTGGGAACAGTCGAGCAATAAAATAAAGAATTCTTAAGAATTGTAAGGCATGCAATGAAGACTTTAGAACTGCGAAGCTGGGGAAGCAAAATCTATCAGTATCTCTGTTTAACCGAGCGCAATGACGGCTGACTCGTTTAGAAATCAATCGGATGATAGCATACGCTTTTGTCCTTACAGAGTTGAGTATTGAAAGTTTGCTTTCGGTTTAATAAATTTATCTGGCAAATTGCAAGCTTATGGCTGATTGCAGCAGCGGACACAAAGAAAACTAAATTGAGTGCCAGCTTTAAGATAGTATGCGGGTGTAAAGGTTCGTGTATGCACAGTTAAAAACGGATAAACCCGTTTATCCAACTATCAATTGGTCAGCGTATGCTTGAGTGCGCACTTAAAACTTTAAGTATTCGAGTCCATCTCACTGCCGACTGTCCATCCGCTTGAATGACTGCGTGCTCACATAAGCGTACAGATTTGTATTGCAGCCTTCGATTCGTAAAGCCCGCTTTAAATTGGATTTCGATTGCCGTCGACGCGTGTGGTCTTCGGCTATAAGTTTCGCTGTGCGCTCCAAACTTCACTCAAGACAAAGGCTGCTTCAGTAAATCATCGCACACATTAAAGAATTTGGCTGCTTTAAAGTTGCCTTGCTGGACGTTAGTGTGCCTTGCGTTTACTGCCTTCATCATCGGTTAGCTCATAAACTAGTTTTATGCGATAATGCGCCGCTCTGCCGTCGCCAACTCTCACCATCACAGCAGCACCTGTCGGTCGCTTTGCGCTCGTGTGCGTCCGCTCGTTTGTTAGAGTAATTTCAATTTATTGCCACTCTGTCGTTTGGGGGCCACACATCTTTATAAATATTAAAATCTGTCAAAAAGGACCCATACTCGGCAGTCGGCACACAGTTTCATTAAGGTTCGACAACGTCACTACACACAATGGTCCTTTGTCAATGCGAAACACAAGTCTACTCAACTCAGCTCGTCTGATAAGTGTCATTATTGCATATTTTAATATTTTCCATAATATTCGTAGATATGACAGCACACGAATGTCCTGCCAAGCGCTCGAGTCACATACACCATACATATACATATATATAAAAGCATTGACAAGGACATTTGCGCCGGTGTGCTCTTTTCATTATCGTAATAACGAGACTAGTGTCCTTTCCGACGACTGTTGCCATTTGAGGCACAAACACCACTCCTTCACATGTACAAACGCGCTCAAAGGGGTTGGACAAACTATTTTTCAGTGGACAAAAATGTTGCATGCGCCACCATGAGTAACGGTGGTAACGGTATGTCAATACACATATGATGGTATAGGATACAACCAAAATATTAGTAAAAAGGATGCTAAGCACACGAATATGCAAACGAATTCAAACGAAGTAGCAATAAAGTAGCTGTTAGTAGTAAAGTGATTTGACTTGCCATTCGACTAACCTATCCTTTGTCTTGTCGTGTTGTGGTATATGCTGTGGCGGCGGCATGGAGTAACACGACGCTGGACTGGGTGAGTAGCCGCCCGATACGGGTGTCGGATATCCGCCGGGACCGACAGCAGTCGCATAAGGATTGCTGCATTGATATGCGGCTGGACCGTAGCCATGATAGCCGGCTGGGGGATAATCAGATTGTACGACCATGCCATAACCTGGATGAGGGGAGTAGCCTAATTTGGCAAAGAAGAAGAAAAAAAACAGACTATTAAAATGAAAGTAAGTAGCAAGCTTCAAGAAGCCAAAATAATGGCTTTGGTAAACAGACACAAAACTTTAAACACAAATGGTTAATGTTAAATCTTTGAACCAAAAGACTTTAAACTCAGGTCATTGCACACTTCAACTCTTCCACTTACCACTTGGATCACGATAGCTGTCGATGTAGTGCGAACCGCCGCTGTCCGGTGTCGATTCACGACTATATGGACGTGGTCCGCCTATGTGTCCGACCAGCCCGAAGCCGAGTGGCCGCGGGGGTCCGCTAAAATCGACTGGTTCCATTTGTGGTGAACGTGGCGCACCGTTAGCGCCGGTTGGTGGTACACCTGGTCCAAAGCCTTGTGGGTGACCGACGACTAGACCGTCGGGATGTGTACCGTACTGTGGGCTCGTGATAATACTGTAAATATTGAGAGAAAAATAAAGCATTGATAAATGCAAACTTCGAGTTTTTGGTTTTTTCTTAAAAGGACATTGCTGGAAGGGATGTGACTCTAGGGTTGAGTGGCATATGTGTGAAGTGTTTCGAACAATGGTGTGCTTGATTAAACTAAGTGTGCCTAATAAAAGCAGTGGGTACTACGACAGTATCGTGCTTACAACAGCAGTCTTTTTAAATTTGACACTATTAAGCAATGTATGAAATAAAGTGGTTCAAGTAAAAATTTCAACTTTGTCCAAAAGCTCGATATATTTAGGCTTATGCATTTCTTGAATAAATACCGCACAGAAGTAAAGTGTTACTAATTATAAATTCCAGATTTCTTCATAGCTTCTTTTTTTAAAAAAATAAATAAATAAAGTAAATCCCAACCAGTTCCGACCGTAACTACGGTCTCACGAAAAGAACAAAATATTTTACTTCACAACTAGTGCTTGGCAAATTGTCCAAGACTCCATTCTCCGTTTATTAAAAATTTATTAGTCCCCCCCACTCCGCTTACCTGTGTGGCAGGCGTGTGACGCTCAGATCCAACGTTTGTCCCTGAGGACTTGGCACTTGAGGACTGGCGATGTTGGGGCTTGCACCAGGCTGTGGACTGCCAGCGCCCATGCGCTGACTGTACTGATTATGTGAAGCTGGCGAGTTGAAACCGTGCGGACTGGACGAAGTCACCGAGGCGGAGGCTGACAAATCGACGACCGGAGCACCAGGTGGTGATGGTGAACCGCTTTGCTTCGGTTGCTGTTGCTGTTGTTGTTGCTGCTGCTGTTGATTTTGGTAAGCGGCTGCGGCGGCTGCTGCTTGCGCCGCTGCCATTTTCACAGACAAATTAATGGCGGAAAAGCCTGGCGGCAATGGACCCATACTTGGATCATAATGATACATGGGACGGGGATATATTGGACCACCATTGGCGAGTTCGTCGTGTTCCGCTTTGGCCATTAACATTTGTTGTTCTTGCAAGTATTTCTGCTGCTGCACTTGCAAGTCGTCTGCGGACTGTGGCAGATAGTGATACATATTCGACGGTGGACCCTGACGCTGACCATTGCAAATGGGATCGTAGCGTTCGAAGGCCGTCGGCATACCGGCTACACTGGATACGCCTGTGGCATCAGCATAGGCGGCTGCAGCGGCGGCCGATGAGAGCGATGTGGGTGGGTTGCCATCGTAGGCGCGTGCATTGGGCGACATCGCATTGGTGGGTGCACCATTGGCAGTAAGCATTTCCTGTACATAAGCAGATGTTGGAGGTTTACCGCCACCTAGACTGCCATCACCAACGCCGGCGCCACCGCCAGCAACATCATTCCCCATGTGTTGCGCATAGCGCATATGCTCGTAGTGATGTTGTTGATGTTGTGCGTCATCGTGATGACCATCAGTGCGATAGGCATCGGCACCGTTCACGGAAGCACCATTGCCAGCGGACATCATTAGCGATGATGAGTCTTCGATGAATGGACCGCGTTGTTGATGCATTGTGTGCTGTTGTTGTTGTTGATGTGGATTATGTGGACTTTGTTGTTGCGCCTGCTGTTGATGTTGCTGCTGATGTGGGTCGGCCATTGTATGCGTTGGTGGCTGCTGTTGGGGTGGCTGCTGTTGTTGATGCTGTTGCTGCTGCTGCATGCTCACGTAGCCGGATGCTTGAAGTGTTCCGGCCGCACTTCGGACACCACTTAAGTGTGGCGCGTGCAAATTATCTGAGTTCGTAGTGGACACAGCGCCGGTATTGGGCGCATTACCGTTAGCCGAGCGGTCTGTTGTGCCACCGCCGGTGCTGTCCGCATTGTTCATATATGGATGCATGGGACTTTTGTTGTATTCGGACTTGACGCTGGCGACCGGACTGAATTCCGATTTGATAATTGGCATTGCGTTGCTCGCCGCACTTGAGTTCGTTGTCGAGCTCGAGCTGTGACTGAGTGTGTTGTGGCTGGCGGAAGTGTTACTATTGTTGTTGCTGCCGGTCGTGATGTGCCCACTATTGTTATTAATGCAGCTGATGTTGTTGTTATTCAAGTATTGATTTGAGGCGATTTTTAACTTTTCCAAATGAGGCAGCTCCTTTGGCTCGGACTTTAGCGTGTCTACCACAGCTGTGGGTGAGAAATGGAGAGTATAAGAGTGGGCGATTTCGATTTTAACGAAGTGTGTAGCAAAAACAAAACAAAAAAAAAAAAAAAAAAAAAAAAATTAAATATGCAACAAAAAGTAACGAACAAACAAGGGTCAAATTGAAGCATTTTAAAAAACACGAGCTCGAAACCTCAAGCTGAGGGGTAGAGATCTTTAAAACATTTACAAATGGAAATAATGCCTCTCATAAAGGCGACAAACCTGCAACCTCACTGTGAAGCTCCTCTCGCAGGGGTTTTAAAACATCTTTTGCCTCAAGTCTCTCACGAAATGCATCGGATTTGTTATCTAACGTGGTGTGACTAAGCGTAATAGTTCTCTTGCTTAACACTGCTTGTTGCTCTCTTTTCGCGGCGCGTTTTACTGCCTTCGGACAACCGGATAGACTGCGATGTACACTACGATGTGCCTGCACATGACCACGTCCATTGCAACCCGGTGTGGGACACTTGAGAATTTGCTCATGTAAAGCCAATACTAAACGTGTGTAGGTAGGCGTTTGGGAATGCAAGCATAAGCCAAAAAGGGTGAGAGAGCGATTTGTGGGGAGTGAGAGAGAATGTTTTTATTAATTTTCTGGCAAATAATTTTTAGACTTATCACAACACCGTTCTACTACGAGTACGTTTACGATCACGAGCATACGGCATTCCACAGAGTTCAGAGTTAAAGTAGTTGGCACTCAGGCTTTGCCGAGCAGCTTTCGCCAGAGTTAAGGAAAGTTATAGTTGGCTAATTAATAGTCGTTTAGTTTAGACGTTTCGTAGCAATAGGAATAGTCACAAAGAGAGTAGGAGAGCTACTGATGCTTGATCATTGCCGATAGTGGATAGGCGAACATTATAATTAGTGAGTAGGAGAAGAGTTACAAACATTTATGTAGAGAGTTGCATCAGAGGAGAGGCTGAGTATGTAAAAAGCGAGCACATTTGATACTAGATACCAGGTGTTTTGGTATAGATTTCTTTTCTAGTTTTTAGATGTTTTAATTTTTTTTAATTAAATAATCTCTACCCCATTGAAGTAGTTAGTGTCTCAAAAATTAATATTAATTGTTAAT